AGGAGAAACAAACTAATTAGTAATATCAGAACAGGAGCCATGCTAGCCTATATAAACTGGTGGGACATTTTCTTTTTCCCACTCTTAGCCCTGCTTTCCTTCTGTCCCAGCCAGCAAAGCAACAGCTACCCCTGAACTCATCAGAGAGGTAAGAGTACTTTCTTCACTCCTTTTCATCCACAGCAGTAAACGTGCACCCTGTTACTGACTTACTGACTTACCTGGATCTTTCTTCTCCCCCAAAACACCTAACAAACAGCATTCGAACAGTCCTTATGAGTGAGAGCAGCAAAGGCTCAGGAGGAACACAGAGGTTAGGGAATGTCACAAAAATTTCAATTATTGAGAATTTTCTAGCAGGGTGAGCATTTATTATTACTGCTTAGCCCAGCTGGCTGAACCTTTGAGGGAAAAGAAAGGTGAGGGGGGGGAAACGAACAAAAACCAACAGGAACTCCTTAACATCTCCTTTTACTGCCTTTCTATTCCGCAAAATGAAAAATGTCTAGATAGTAATAATACACAGTTAATGGGATAGTATCTCTGGATTTCTCTGTCCCCAAGAGACACACCTCTGAAAATTGAATTGCAAATGGGCTTAATGAATATTTGAATCTGAGGGATAAGCTTTATTTTGAACTAATGCTTTAAAATGTATCTTCCATGGGAAAACTTGAACTTTTTTTTCACTGAGGGTCAAGTGCATTATCATCTCTCTGTTTTGGGGAGTGTATTGTGCATGCGTGTGTTCCTATACATAAGATAACACTATACTTGTCCAGCTTTACTAAACCCCTGGTAACATTATGCAGGGTGTGCTGGAATCAGAGCTGCTGAGAATCTGGCCCTTTCCTCCTATTGTACTTGGATGCAGGAATTCCTCTAAAAACATGCTGCACACAGAGCTGGCTGCCGCACGGTTCACAGCAACAATTCAGAGAATGCAAGATACAATGGCTGTAATTGTGCGTTAGCAGTTCCTTGGACAAACAAGTAACACACGGTAATTTAAATCCTCTTGATTTACAGAGTAACCTGAATTTTGTCAGGGAGAGAGGAAAATTCCAGAAAGAAGAAAAAGTACTAGATAATTTTGCTGCATTTTCAGAGATAAAAGCCCAAAGCCTAGCAACACAGGCACCAGCTTGGAAATAACTATTACCTGGGAGTATTAAAATAATTAGCGAAATAAAAGCCTCTGTTCCTTTCCCAGCTGCAAGCACAGCACCACTCTTACCATGCATAACACATAATGAATGTGTGACTGGGCTTGTCTCAATTTCAGCACGTGAATAAAAAAGTATTTGCAGGCCAGATGTTGCAGGAGGGCAGCACCAGCACGGAGTCTGCTTTGCTACAGCTTTAATGAGGCATTTCTGAGATGCCATAGGTATTGCGTGACATGGAAGAAGTGTACACAAGAGAAAGAGAAATTGATTTAGGGAGACATGAAGTTGCATAATATCACTACTTTGGTACAGGACATTTATTAACTCTGAAAAGATTATTAAAAAAACAATAGATTAGCTTCTTGGCCCTGTGATGATTTCATTTTCATGCAAGAGAAACATCTTTTTTTATATATTTTCTATTATCACAAGTTCCATTTCATAGCTGATACAAAAGTATTTAGATACTTTTAGCTGTAAAACTTTCCTCTTGCTTACGTGAGCATTCTTAGCAAGGATGGCAGAGAGATATTATCCAACAGCAAACAAAGGGAAGGCAGCAAACATCTGGAATCACTGGGGAAAAGCAGCAGTGCCCCAAATCTAGCTCTCACTTTCCACAGTACCTCATGGGAAAATAGTTTTAAACAGTTCCTCTGCACTTGCAGCACAGTACAAATCAGTCCTTGCACCACAGAGATGAAAATCACATTCAGACTCTCTCTGCCTGGGTCCTGCTGTTGCTCCTGTATCGCACCGGTTACACACCAGCATCAGGAGCCCACACTGCATTTCCTACCAAACGCCTGTCTGGAGCACCTCCACAGAGCCTACATGCGATCAGGCAGTGCACTAAAGCTGTGTGTCTGAGAGCAGGACTTACGGTCTTTAGTTAAGAATCTGAGATCAAAAAACATTTTCCCAGACTAATAGAAATAAGGAATTTTTCTATTTTTTTTTTTAATCCTGCCCCCCTGCAGAAACCAAGCAGTCTGTTCCAGCAGATCAGTCCTTTCATAATTATTTCCATTTCCCTCCTTCATGCACTAAGAAAAAAAGCCCACTTTGACTGAAAAACACATGTTGACTTAACTTCAATGGGAGGTCTTCAAAAGACCTGCTGTAGGTTGGCCCCATGCAATCCCCCATGCACACTTTGGATTGAATTAAAATTCAGTCATCATATTGTTTTAAAGTTCTCTGAGCATCTCCATTATTCTGGGATAAAACATTGTTTGTCTTCTGTCCTTTCTTAAATAGCTGCTGTCACCTACTCCATACACCAAGGTAATCTGTTAGCAGATCTTTAATCTGAGCATACATGGCAGCTACTGCATCTTACAATGTCAAAAATTATTTAAAATGCCCAAAAAACTGGGAAGCTGGTTCTGGCTTCCAAGAGGTTGACTACTTCTTTATACTTTCTTTGGACAACTAAGTAGAAGTAGTGCAAGTCCTCCAGGCTCTGCATTTCTGGAGAGATGGGACAAGCCCCAGGGCTGAGGTGATAGCCGAACCACTGCACACAGGAGGCAGCCCTCACGCAGTGCCTGGGATGTGATTTTGGGTAGTAGTGAAGCCACTGGGGCTGGATCTGGGTCTTTACAGTGTCATGAAGACCCCACCTGAAACCAAGGGTGCTCTTAGCTTACCCATTACATACCAGGCTGCTCTGCAGGTGATGGCAGGGGGCGGGGAGGGTGTTGTAATTATTTCCTTCTCCTTTAGCATATATGAGCCAATAGGAAAGATGAATAAAAGTTCATGTGATTGTTCTAGAAATACATGTGAGTTTGACCAGTGCTGCTGGCCAGAAAGTACCCATGATCACCCCCTAATCACTGCAATTTTGAGTATTCTGGAAGAACAGGTATGCAGGGCATTGACGCAGCCTTCACTGGGGGTGAAGTTCAAGCCAGGTTGGTGGAACTGACTCACATGGCCACCTGGTTTTTTCTCCATGCCAAGTGCATCAAGCTGACTTCATTTCTGCCCATGGAAACTCAGAGAAAAGGAATAATCCAGTCTCAGACTTGCACCATGCAGTACTGCCCTACCCAGCTGCCGTGCCAGCAGCACAGCCCATGCACTGCCAAGAAGCCTCAACAGCAGATAAATGGCTTCACATCTCACCGGGGCTTAAAGAATGTAATTATTATATATCCCAGGGCAAAAAATACCTTGCACAAGAAAGAAATGAAACTCCACTCAGGTACTCGACACAGGAGAAGTTCTTTCCCATTCATTCTGGTCCGGATTCAGCAAAGCACTGAATTCACATTGCTTCACTGGGAAGTTAAGTATGCACTTAAGTGTCTTCCTAGGGCAAAGCAACAAAAAGTTTTGATGAATCAGGGCTTCCAATTTGACCTGTTTTCCTCTCCACCATATGAGTGGGCCAGACAGTGACTCCATCACTTCACATGCACATTACATCCCACACTGCAGAACGTCTTCAACCTCCTGCAGTGCAAACAGCTCCTCACTCAGCATGCAAGGAAACAAATCGGGCATGCTAGCACAGGATATACAACATCATCTTGCAAATGCAAGTCCAACAGCCCTTGACTATATGGATTAGTAACAGAGAAAGGCTAAGATACATAAAGAGGGAGATTCTTTAAATTGAAAATGTAAATGCACTTTCACTAAATGAAGAGCATTTATCTTGCCTGGAAATTTTGATTTAACTGAAAGTGCATCCAATTCACTTATTCCATTATTTCAGAATAAAATATGAGAAAAGCGAAGGTTAATGGATCAAGGTAATGAATTATAACTGAGCCAGGAAAAAGCCTTCCAGCACCGAGACACCACCTCTAGCAACACTCTCATCCTTTTCTTTTCTTCCTCCTCTAGTTAAGCTCCTTGCCTTTGTGTCCTACATAAAGTCAAATTCAACAGTCCTCTATGTACTGGTCCTGTCTTCAACCTCTTTCATGTGGAACCTATCCTTGCATTAGCTGGGCCCTTCCAGAAGGCAGAAAAAGTCTGCTCATTATTTGTGCAAACATTTACTACTTCTCAAAATGTCACCGTGAGCCTTCCAATAACATACAGTAAGAAACTGCCCAGGATGTACATTAACCAGCCATTCCCCTACAGACTCAGAGCTGCTTAACCGCATGTCTGTGAGTGTAATGCCCAGGGGTGAGGCTGCTTTAGCTCAAGTACTCAGCACCTGTAGTTCTGATGTATGGGTTCTCTTCCCCAGCTGCCAAGAAGGCTTTTACTGAAGTTGCAAGTGAATCAAGGAGTAGCTCCAATAATTATGTGCTTGTATCATCCTATTTAGACTATTAACTCACAACCTAAATTCTTCACTTCTTGCACAAGCTGCTGCTCACCAGTGAGACCTGAACCAGCACTGGTTCTGTATTCACTCAACAACATACCTTGTCTGGTATTTTCTTTGTCTTGACAATTACCAAGAATTAGTCCTACTCTTCAGGAAACTGAATACACTCCAGGGAAAGCTTTGGCTGGTTTAAATTTGCTGACTTCCTATTGAGAATAGGCCCTTAAACATATAACGAATTGGCTATGGGACATATTGTTTTTAAACTCCAGTGTTTAAAGTCAGTTCTAAGTGTCTGATCCACATGCCCGAATGAAGTTGTCTAGAGCTGTGTGAGGTGCCAAAGGGTATTCCAGCGGCTCCTCATCCAAAGGCCATCTCTCCCATAGGGGACCCCTTCTCTGCCAGCTTTGCATGGATGCCCCAAACACGTTATTTAGGCCTAAACACCTCTGTTTGGCCTATAACACTCCCTTACCTTATTTAAATCTTGAGATAGTGCCTGTTAAATTTAGTAAGAGTCTTTTCACTAGTCTCTGAGGATTTCCTACTACAGGTCCCAGTACGTGGTGACCTATCTTGTCTTGACGGTTGGACCTGATGATCTTAGAGGTCTTTTCCAACCTTAAAGATTCTATAATTCTATGATTGTGCTGAAGACCAAAGGCCAGTCCAGACCACCTAACACCCTGCTGGGCAGCTGGCAGAAAGAACAAGGTAGCATGACTAAGGCAGAATGAAAAGCAAGCACCCTGAATTTGGCCTTTAAGCTTTTCAGTCAGTGCTGGATACGTCTAAAGATGGGGCAGCTAAAAGTACAATTCAACACAGAAAAAAAAAAAAAAAAAAGGGATGTGAATAATGGACAAAGAACAACCCTCAAGCTAAAACCATGCTCATAAGAAAGGTTTAGCACATCCCAGTAGGTGACTGTATAGAGACCCATAAACCTAGATTTAGGTACCTATTATTGATGGCTGATGGATAAATTCAAACTGGAAATATGGGTTAAGCAGCAGTGGAAACTTAATCATTGAAGCAGCTTCCTAGATTGTGGTTCAACTTCTACCAACTTCTCTGTTCAACTTCTATCAATTTGAATCTTGAGATAACATTAACTTCTGTGAGGCCAGTGTTCTCTAATGCTGTCTTGCTGGTTTTGAAGTCACCTTTTAAATCAAGAGCTGCTTGATTTCTAGAAAACATGGTATAGCTGAGCAGGGTGTTAAAATGAGGTAAAATACTATGACAAAAGGCTCAGTGGTTCCTTGGGGTATTCATATCTATGACTGCCTGAAAGTCTGGAAGGATAGTGAAGAGCACGTGAAGAGGGAATGTGCTCATGGAGACATGAGAATCAGGTGTTCAGAGCAAGGATTTTCCTCTTTCTGACTCCAGAATAACAAATGTTGAGTAACAATATGTGGTAGAAAGAATAAACAGATATGAGTAAGAGGCATTGTAATGCTAAACTATCTTTTTTTTTTTCCTTGAATTTTACCAAAAGGTCAGAACATCAAAATGGAAAACAGTGTTGATGTCAAGATAGAAACCATGGGGGAAAGAAAGCCAATAAAGCAGAATCCACTGAGCAAAGCTGGGAAGAGAGTCTGCAGAGCTGTTGGGTACATCACTGGAAACATGAAGGAATTTGGAGCCTGGCTAAAAGGTAAAGCTACTTCATGATGGCTAATGAGAGGATTCTAAAGAAGAATTATGTCTAAGGAATAATAACTAATTTCTCGCTAATACGAGTCAAGTTAGACTCTTACAGAAACTACCTCTGCCCTGATTTATTTCCATTTTGCAGGAAAAAATCAGCTTTGTGCAGAGATCCACATACTGCTTAAATCTTGAGGATGACTGAGATGACATTTACCTCCCAACATGCCATGTACAAAGTGAATTTAGTCCCACAGAACATAGACCGGGATAGTTATTCTGTGCTCTGCCATTCTTCATAACGCTCCCTGTCCTTTCAGCTGAGCAGTTTCTGTCAAGCCTAATGCCACTGTGAAGTTAAATTACACATAGGTAGGTGTGTTTGGTCCCCATAATAAATCAGCAATGGGATACACACACGATTTGCCATCTGAGGCACAGACATCGTAAATTAGCCGGTTCATATGAAACCAGTCCAGGGTAATTTATAACAGGGGACTCTGGCAACCACACTGTTCATCTCAGCTTTCCAGCTGTAAGACTTTGGTATAGACCATAATAAATCCCAGTCAGGTTTTACAGTCTTGTTGATACATCACTTGAGTCATGCTGCCAAGTTCCACTGCCAAAACCTCCTGGGTTCCAAAAAAAAAAAAAAAATAAAATAAAATCTAAAAAAAATCCCAAATTACTATCATCTGCATATTTTGGTTTTGGGTTTTTTATTATTTAATTTGATTTCTTCCAGATAAACCTCTCATGATCCAGTTTATTGACTGGGTGCTGCGTGGGATATCCCAGGTGATGTTTGTCAACAATCCCCTCAGTGGTCTTATCGTAGTTGCTGGCTTCCTGGTGCAGAACCCATGGTGGACACTCACAGGCTGTTTAGGAACAGTTGTCTCAACTTTAACAGCACTTATTCTGGGTCAGGACAGGTAAGTCCATCCTCTTCCCCTTCAAAACCAGACTTGAATGGTGGCTTATGTGTTAAAGAAGCCACATGAATGAAAATCATGTGTCTAGCCTTCACTGGCCATGTATCTCATCTGGTAGGACCAGACAGACCTTCCCACCAGCTGCACGAGCCTTGGTAGGTCATCATCACAGAGTCACAACTGCATGAGGAGGGAGGGGGTGATGTGAGCAAAGCACCCACAGGGGAGAAGATTTCAAGATGGTTGTTTCTTTCACACAGATCAGCCATTGCAGCAGGCCTGTACGGCTATAACGGAGTCTTGGTGGGATTGCTCATGGCTGTCTTCTCTGCTAAAGGAGACTACCACTGGTGGCTTCTACTGCCGATAGCACTGGTGTCCATGATGTGGTAAGTCGGATGGGTCCTCTGCTTCTTATTCCAGCTCCAGTGTCCCCATACTGAGATTGAGACATTGCATTTTTATGCACTATACAGACTACAATGAGAAAGAAACACAGCTGGCACATATATGCTACTAAATCTGTACCACTATTTGCACTTTTAAACTCAAATGTAATCCTAAAACTAATAAAATACCCACATAATCATAAATAAAGCCAATGGGGAAAAGGAAAATGGATGGTTGATCATATGTAATTCAATGCCCTAAATGTTAGCCATATTGCTGTGATGCATCAATTCATTTTTGTCTCAAGAGGGACATTATTTTCACCATTCCCTACCACCATCAACCACAAGTGTTTCATCTATTTAAGCCATCATATAAAAATGTCAAGAAAATTTACCTCTCCAGGCACAGAAGCTGTTCAATGGTCCCAAGACGTGATGGTTGATGCTAATGCAAACAAACAACTAATAATACTTTACTCATATATATGACACCATAATCTGCTAGGTATTTGGACAGCAAAAAATTTGAAAGCTGGTCTTTGGCTCCCAAATGTCTAGTTGGAAATTGCTAAACCACGCATATCATCTGTCTGCCTGAAGTTCATGTACTGTTATGCTCAGTTTAATAAGCACAACTTTGATGTCAGCCTTTACTTCTGATCCATACGCTTGAACATGGACACACAGCCACCTTCGCAGTTCACTCTTGGCACAGGTGTCCTAAATTCAGTCCACTTCAAGTACTGAAGAAAAAAAGTAATCACTGAGACTGGGCTGTGGAATAACTCTGTTAAATGACTGGATCCTCCACATGAGTGGAGGATCTTGGCTCCTTCATGGTCACCACGTTCACCTCATATATTGCATAACACAACAGGAATCTGCCCATTGCTAACTACCCTGGGAAGGGTAGGAAATTTACTGAATGACCTTAGCATATCTCTATTTTTATCAGAAATATTGAAGAATTAAACAGCTTTTAAAAAAAAAAAAATAGAGCAAATGTCCTGCAAGGTTGTTGGTTTTTTTGGTTGGGTATTATTATTGTTGTTGTTGCTGCTGTTGTTGTTGTTGTTATTATTATTATTTTGCCTAGTTAACAAGCTCCTAGTGAGACCATTTTGTTCTTCTTTCAGCCCTGTTTTCACCAGTGCTTTAGGCTCAGTCTTCTGTAAGTGGGATCTGCCTGTTTTCACCTTGCCTTTCAACTTGGCCTTGACCCTCTATCTGGCTGCATCAGGACCCCATAATCTCTTCTTCCCTACAACTGTCATTCAGCCTGCAACAGCAACACCAAACATCACCTGGACGGATGCTGAAATGCCAATGGTAGGATGTCCTAAAAATAAGAGTCTTCTCTATTTACAAAGAAAACCACTATATAATCGTATTATCTTACTTTAAGTTACTGCATTATGGCCTGCCAATAGAAAATTGCATTTATAAGATAGATGTTATTCAAATCATACAGGTTTACTTTAGGAATTGACATTTTTGATACCTTGCAAAGAAGAATCTTTCTGGTATCTGGTATCATTCTTTTACAGATGGATCTAAATTATAGTCTTGAAAGACCTTCTAGAATCTAATTACCCATTTCTGTGTATATACTGATCAGCACTCTATAGATAAGGTTGCACTGTGATTACTGTTTAACTCCCAGATTAATTTTAGTTTTCCATGTACAGAGTGCTGTGTTTTTAAAATTGCATCTTTCTGATTAGAAATGAGCAATGGAACTATGGAAGAATGGCTACAAATTTGAGTGTGGGCACATTTTCACATAGTCTTAGTTAATATTGAAGTGGGACATTTAAAAAAAAAAATTATTCTCCTTCACAGCGTGGTAAACAACACAGATTGCAGAGTAATAGCTTTCCCTAAGGCCCAGTGGACAATTTTGAGGGGTTCCCTGGGAGTGATTAAAAAAAGGAAGGTAATTATTGACACTAAATAGCAGTCCATAAGAGTGACATTTCTCAAAGAACGTTTATCATGGCACATAATTTTATGGGGACCATATATGGGCTGTTCCATGTGGAGGAACACAACATTTTAAGGAAAAGTGTCTCGAAACCATTTCTAAGATGTAACCAAGCTGGGCTCTGCCCCACCAACCCAGCAGTTCTCATCCTAGTGATTATGAAAGGAGTTTCAGGTATATAAGTAGATCAGAGATATAGCTTTAACTGAGTAAAATCTTGTAATTCTGGCCAAGCCATTATTGGCCATTTCATCCTCGAATCTCACCATTCAGAGGTGAATGTCTTCTCAAAGGCATCATCTATGTGAGCACTTCCATTTTCCACTGTTGTGGTCCATAACAGCATGCATAAATGGCTAACTCAGCAGCACATGTAAAGATGATGAGCAAACCCTTTTGCAAAAGACATTTACCTTTGATATTAGAGCAAAAATTTGGCAGAGGAGCTCATGGCATGAAGGCATGAGTCATTTTCATTGAAGGGGAAACCCTGTGGAAATGCCCTGCTGTCTCCCGAGAAGTGCACAAACTTTCCACTTACAGTCTAGAAAGAGAAACTGCATCCAACAAGTGCTGAACACAAAGCCTGGCAAGAAAATTAGGGTTGGTTTTTTTTTTAAAAAAAAAGAAAAGATAAATCTGATAAAAACTTGTCGTCTTTTTTTTTTTTTTGTCTTTTTTTTTTTTTAATTCATCCAGCTCCTGCAATCCATTCCAGTTGGAGTGGGTCAGGTTTATGGTTGTGATAACCCCTGGACTGGGGGAATTTTCCTGATTGCTTTATTTATCTCTTCTCCACTCATTTGTCTGCATGCAGCAATCGGATCAGCAGTGGGGATGCTGGCAGGTAAGGATTTGACTCGTGTCACAGATTGATGTAAAAGCATGGAGAATAAAAGAGGAACTTCAATGAGTGGAGCATTTACAGTCACAAATGTTTCTTCCATTGCAGAATGACTGCTTGACAAAAAAATATATATACAATTCTGTTTTAAGAATTGTTTTGATTGACTTCCCCACTCTCTTACCTCATTTTATGATGGTGGAAATCTTCAGAAAAAAGAAGCATATTTTTGGCTGAAATGAATTTTTATCATGAAATACTTCATTTCTGGATATATTCTGATGGGTTTAGGAGCAGCTTAATAAAAGTCATAACCATCAGTCTGAATGTGCAGGCCTCAGGGATGCATTTAAGGTTCACATGTATGCTCATTCCCTCATATATCTTCCATATATCTTCTGCTGAAATTGCATGGCCAAATTCAGCTCAGCAGCAGCAGGGAAATTCAGCCGTGATTGCATTAAAGTGGCTTTAGTCTTAGACCGTAGCAACAAGACTACAAACAGGAATTCCATGTACATGTGTGACCTAGAGCCCTTAAAAAGCTGGATTCGTGCCATTTCTCAGCTGCTTTTATCTGTTTGGCCAAAGAATGACACATCTTTGACTTATTTTCCAGCACTGAGCTTAGCAACACCATTTAGCAAAATCTACTCCGGCTTGTGGGGCTACAACAGCTCCCTCTCATGCATTGCGATTGGAGGCATGTTCTACGCTTTCACCTGGCAGACACATTTGCTGGCAATTGCCTGTGGTACGTATCCTATGGATTTTCACTACTGCCACATTTCCTTTTGAAGTGAGACAAGATGCATTTATGCTAGAAGTGGGCTGAAGCCAGATGGCCACCTCTAGACAGGCAGATGGACTTAGGTGAGACTGATGGAGCTGGATGTTGGAGCCATTGCTCTAATGGACCCTGACAAAATAAAAGTGGTGCTTTTGCTTTCAGCCAAGAGTTGTGTTCAAAGCAAGAGATGCAATTGGTGGAGGCTGATTAACTAAGGTCTTTGAAATTAGTTTTGAGGTTTTATTTGTGTTTGCTCAACATTGCTGGATGAATCATATTGTTTTTTCCAATCATAGGTATCAGTTCAAATTCCTTCTTTGGAGAAAGACATTTCTAAACTTTGAGAAAACTGGAGCTCAAGATCAGTCTGCATCTATAGTTAGACAATACAGTTTCCCCAGTCTATTGAAATGGATACCAAAGGGATGAGCTAGGCAGTACAGAATGATGGAAGAATTATTTATAAGGCAATTCCATATGAAATTTCAATATCACAGTGAGCTGGGAGTGAAGCTATTGCTCATTCAGTGTTCATATAAAAAAGATTTAGCTTTTTATCTCATTGACCCACCTTCTAGCCCTAGAGGCAGGAGGGATGGGTTATTTTCCTATTTAACCCCATCCATTAAGCTACATACTTTACACATCAGTGCATTTTTCAAAAGCCTCTGTTTCCATAGTCACATTTTTCATCACTCCAGTTCTTTTTTTTGTTTCACTCTTTCCATGAGCTCCAGGTTGGAGGGGACACAGTGCCAAGGAAAGATCTTTAAGAGGGGGCAGACCAGGCATGGTCATAAACATTGGTTGAGCTACCCAAGGCAGTGTGAGAGGTGTTTGTCCTGGCTGGTCTCCTCCATAAGCAACTGAACTCACATGGAACTACCTTTCTTTTTCACAGCACTCTTCAGTGCCTATCTGGGAGCAACAGTGACAAACATGTTGTCTGTGGTAAGTAGTGTATTGGTTAAGGTCTTTTTTCCAAAGACAGACTTCAAGACTGTATCTTTTCCTGACTTGAAAGGCAAAATGCCAAGACTCAGAAAACAATTCAGCCAAAGGCAGAACTGGCCTGGGAGAGAGGACACAGTCTGGTTGGTGTGGTTCCCCCTGAAACAAGCCTCTTACAATCATCACCACTTTTCATCCTCAGAGCTTGCATGAACATTCACAGCTCAGCCCTCAACACCTCTGAGATATTTATATGTTTACACTTTGTGCCTGAAACGATTGAGAAAAGAGCCTTCCACGCACGTAAAGAAACTTCAAATTTGGTTTAATTGCTTTGCCCACGTGCCAAAAGGCAGTCAGTACAGCAGCCCAGGGAAAAGCTGAATGCTTCTGTTATCCACTCCTGTATCATCCCCATCTGCTCCTATCCCATCTCCATCCAAGACCACTGCAGATGCACAAAGAGAAGGCAGCCTTCTCACCAGAGCTGGTAGATGTTGCAGGTTAATGTAAAATATCAAGATCTCATAAAGAAATCCTACCTCCTCAGGGAGAGACTCCATGCAAAACCAAGTCAGGACTTCCTTGAGACAGCTTGTACCAAGCTGCCTGGCTCTGAGTTTTGTTCAGGGGCTGGGGGGTCAAATGAAAGAAAGACACATAATAAATAGGTGGTTTGCATTTTTCTTTGCAGTTTGGGATGCCATCAGGAACCTGGTCTTTTTGCTTCTCTGCGCTGACCTTCCTGTTAATAACCACAAACAACTCTGCCATCTACAAGCTGCCACTCTGCAAAGTCACCCATCCAGAAGCCAACCGAGCTTATTATCTGAAGATGAAGAAACATCAGCGGTCTTGCTGTGAGGTATAAAGACCCAAGAAGAGAGATACTTTGCAGATTTTAAGGCAAAAGCACAAGGTGTTTCCCCAAAAATCATGATTTGTGTGCTACAAAGTCCAAAGACCAAAAAAAAATTGCCACCTTCTAAGTGGAGAGACTTTTTCCACTACCTTCATTTGTTCTATCCTGATTAGATAGGATTGTGTTGCCCTGGAAGGACCTTTCCCAAGACCAATCTGTAATGATTTAAAAGCACATATGCCTGAAAAGACATTCGAATTTTAATCAGTGGGGAAATGATTTAGAAGTTGAAAAGAAAAATCTGTTTGTGAAATCCAAATCACAGCAATCAGACATAAAGCAATAAAGAGCAGAGCATCCCTCAGCATCTGATGGGACTCCTAATTAATGGCCAAAATGAGCTTACAACAGCAATAGGATATGTCTTAGAGAGCTTCATAGTAGCAGAGAAGTGGAATACCCTTTGCTAAGTAGAAAATAGGTGGTGAAGCATTCTCCCTGGAGGATCTCTTAAGCCCAGTGGAGAGAGATGTGCATTGGCAATCATGGCACACAAGATGGACACAGATAAATCGCACGCACCCTTGCTAACACTTGCAAGACTTGTGGTAAAAATCACAATAACGGCAGGGAGGAGGTGTCTATCAGCCCCAGCTTTTAGATGTTTTAGTTTGCACCAGGGTCTAACACTTCATGAGAAAAATGTTTCAGGCCTACCCAGTTGCAGAGAAAAGTCTGTAAACCCAAGGCCAAGAAAGCAGATACCAGTGAAAAGAATCTTTTTTACCAAAAAAAAATCCAGTAATAAGTTTCATGATTTTATGTTAATCTCATGATTTTTCTTAATACTTGAACTTGGTCATGGATTAGCAAAGGACAGGACAGGAACAAAGTCATTGCTGTCCCTTTACTATGCAATAAAATGTCTCTGTTCAGTCTGCGAATGTGTAGATCTAATTTCAGCTGATCTTCTTGACCTCTCTCCCTAAACCACACACACACACACACTCAGCCCACAAATGTCAAGCAGCAAAACGGTGCACTGTCCCAGTCTGCTGCAGAAGTTGCTGCTCTGCCATGTCCCTCTACACCACGATAGGAGAAGGATGGTTGGAGGACTGGTGGACATAGCAGAGCTCTGCAGCAGACCAGCCATGTGCCCTCCTCTGCACAGGCTCCCAGGATCTGCAGGTAGGGAAGGAGAAAGTTGACCTTGCACCCAACAGGCTGGTCACCTCAGTGGCTATTAACTGAGCCACATTTTTGACTGGCTCATTGAGATACTTCGTCTCATGATGAAGCTGACGTCTTCACCACAAATAGTCCATATGCTCAGTTCCTTCAGTTCACAGTAGCCTACATGCAGTAATGACATAGAATCACAGAATGGTTTGTGCTGGAAGGGACCTTTAAAGGTCATCTGGTCCAACCCCCCTGCCATGAGCAGGGACATCCTCAGGTAGATCAGGTTGTTGCTCCTGAGAAAGTAAATCAAAACCTGTTCCTCTGGTGGCTGAAGAAATAAAAAGTAGCCTGTGAATAGTGCTACTGCTGATTTTTGAGGTTGGGAAAAAAACAAACATGTCTTTTTATGATCACCAGAAAGATCTGAGTGAAAAATATTTGGGATGAACTGCTGGCAGTATTTTCTGGTGAAGTATCAGGTTTTCAGATGTTTGGCAGTATTTCTGTATGACTGACACTCCAGAGATCACTTGTAAAATGTACCATTTGCTGTGGTTTACTTGGTAAATATCTTCATAATATGGTGTGGAGTTGATTTTTAAAACAATTACTCATACTTTTTTGAGTTTAGTATTAGTTGTTCTCCATTTATCATCACTAAGTTCTTCCAAAGACAGATCATCTCTTAAATAAGTAGTCTAGAAGATGTTGGAAAATAAAATTATGAAATCGGTGTATGGGGTATATTTGGGAAACTTCTAGCTTCTACTCTTTGTACTTATGGCATTTTGCTGCATCAATAACTTATTAAATGTGCAAGTGAAAAATCTGCTTCTGTACAGGAGGCACGATCAGCCAAAGGCACAGTGTTGTTCCTGCAGAGCTACAGCTGGGGCTGGAAACTTTCTGGAGACCAGATGAGGACTCGTTCCTAGGGGAGATGCTGGACAGGCCCCCAGATTGGGGTTAGATAAGGTCATGTTTTCTCCAGAGGATGCACCTCTGTGCACACATCCAAACCACATGCAAACTGTGATGGAAAAGGATATCTTTTGGTGTCTGAACTGACATATCCCCACCCAGGACCATGTGTGCCCAAGAGGCAAACCTACCAATGCTGTCTTTCACTCTTATGTAAAAATCTGCACTTGGGTAAGAGTACACACTTTATGACCAGTCTAAATCAGCAGCTTTCCTCCAACTAGTGCTATTTCAGCTTGCCGTTGCTGAGCAACAGGGACATTTTGGCAGTACAGTAAAGAAACCATATGCACAGAACAGAAAAGCAACAAAAGATGTAGGCCATGTCTCAGCCATTAGAAAGATTTTGCATGTCATTCAGAATTAATTCTTCATTTTATGCTTCTCAGAGAATTCATTCTTCCCATCACCCCACGCAAAATAACAGTGATTTGGTAATTTGACATGTATATCAATCAGGATATGCATATCATGCTTTTTCCCATTATCATTCATAACACAGTCTTTGCTAAGAGAACTAATTTATCTATCTTATTACTGAAACTGTTCTTTTTTTCTCTTTATTTTTTTCTTTGTATCAAATAAATGCTATTCAAGTCACAAAATCTTTTCAAGTACTCTTTTTGCTTTTTTTTTTTTTTTGACACAAAGGTGATATCAGACTCATAAGAAACCTTTATGCAGGGCAGGTGTTTTGGGGCTCTTTCCTGGACTACTACCCTCACAGTGTCAGCAAAATGTAGCAAAAGAGATCTTACTGTGTTTAACATTTCTAAAATATAAAAAATAATAATTAAAAAAAAAAAAAACAAACAAACACAACACCATACCACTTGAAAACATCTGCTTGGAATCAGATTTTATCCAAAAGTCTAACTTGAACTATCTCATTGCCATTTACTAAGCCATTCTCGTTGCTTCTGTCTGATGTGCATCATTCCATCCAAGACTCCCAGTTCCATGTCAAGCAACTGCCCCAGTCTCCACCACTTGACAGTGGTGTACCTCCTGCCCCCCAACACTTTCTGCTGTGGTTCAGCTGCCCAGTAGCCCTGGCTGCAGCCACACACCTTGTAGTCCTGCATGGGGTTTGCTATTTGAGGTACAGGGAGGGAAAGCATGAATGACAACTCAAGACAAGACATCGTGGGATGCTGAGCAAGGGCCAGCAGGTTTTTGTCAGTAGAGCCCACTCCTCTCCCTTCCCAAAGTAGTGCTGCTTCTTCATAGAGCCCAGGGTGTGCTGACACCAGCAACAGTACCAAGACATGGGCTACAGCCCTCATTTCTCCTTCCCCCAGCAAACCAGTATCTGGGCAAGTGCAGAAGAGGCCAATATTTAGCCATGCAGCAAAGATGCCACACCTTTGATGATGCTGAACTGGGAGAAAGAAATGTTCAGCCCAGGTTACCTGAAGACCAGACCCAAGAGTCAATTGCAGAAGCAGGACCAAAAGCAAGAGGTATGAGTGCAGCACAATAACATTTTAGATGCTCAAAGCTGAGGACATGCAACAATACAATCTCCTTGACCTGATCCTGCAGGGCTATTGTGGCTTTTGTTTGGTTTTACCACATTGTACATGAAATATAAACAGTATAAAGAATGCTTGTGTTAATAATTATCTAATCTTTTGAATCTTGACATTTAGTGTAAAGGGTAGAATTAACACAGAATTTGGCCATAGCTAGGAATAATTCACCCACTAAGAAAGACACTAGCCACAGGGAAGCAGGGCTGTGCATTCGAAAGAAATACTTGATTATTATACCCCCTCCCTCAGAGCCTAAGCATTTCAAAGGCCACTATGGCAAGTGAATTGTTAGACAGAAATGAACACCTTTCTGATGCTTTGTCTTGTCATGGAAACCTGCCTTCAGGTGGTAAGGCCTTTTTTGTTACCAGCAGTTCAGCTTACTCAAGATTTTGACTGAGATGGGGAAACAGTATAACTCTCAAAGCAAATACACCCCAATGACTTAAGACCTCACTCTGCTAATTCTCAAAGGCACAGATAGAGCAAGGTGATTAGTTTCCCTTGCTAAAAGAAATGGGAAGTGTTTCCACAGGAATTGGAAGCCTTTATATTTCATAGATGTGGGCCAGAAAACTTATGCTTAGGTGCCCAAAGTCCATGCTGGTAAATGGAAAGGATCCAGTGCCGGCACGCAGACAGCCGCCCTACTCGACTGAGCATACATGTCCTGGCACAGTCCCAGCCTTTACCAACCAGCATCCCCCAGGCAGTACCTAGACACAGCTCAGCAAGCAGTGTGGACCTCTCTTGGCTCCTCAGCACTTCCCACACTAACTAATATTTAAAGATGTTTCACTCGCAAAGGGGCTCAGAAGGTTAAATTACCTACCTTGAGGTTGAGCCCTCCTAACTTGCTATGGCATTTCAATGCAAAGTAAAACAACTTTGCTTCATAGTGTTCCTGCACTTTTCATCAGCAAGAGCCCTTTCATGCCTAACTGTTTGCAAGTGCAGCCTCCTGGTCCTGTGTGGGGTTTAGCTCCTGTGCTATGGGGCTCCTGCCCACCCTGGTTCCAGCGTCGGGGCCAAAGATGTCCTTGGCACACACACCAGGCAGACCACAGGAAACAGCAGTGTTGAAGCCCTGCCCTTTTCCTGACACAGAAACACTCACCTCGGGGTAGAAAAAAGAGCAGAAATAAAGAGGGAGAGGGAACACAAGTAACTCTGCAACCTGGTGCATCACCCAAGGGTATCGCTGAAGAAGGATGCCACCAAGAACCAGCTAAAGGGAAACCGAAAGGGCAAACGTGACAGAGGAGTTGATGTTGCTTCATGTGCTACAGCAAGAGCCTCAGAGGCTGGTGCAACGAGATCCAGTCTGAGACCTGGACCAGTATGTCAAACTGCCCTAGGGAGCGATGCAGC